CCAAATCCTTCACTCAAGAATTCTTAATGCAATTATACGGCTTAAGAGAATTTTGTTAAACCAAACTGTAAGTAGAGTGACTGTCCCAGAGGAACGGGTTCACAGTATATCATAAAGTTGTCACTGTTTGGTTGCAGTGTCTGAGATAGGTTTGTAGGTTTTTAGTCTGCATGTAAACCATTACTAGCATCTTTCTTTTGGATCATTATTAGATGATTAAAAACACACTCGGGTGTCGGCTCTCTCGTCTTTGAACTGCCGTGAGTTGACGTTCCCCGACTGCTTAATTTACTAAACCTGCCAAGTTGAGAATGTACGTTCAATTAAGCTGTTAAACCACCTGGCTGCTGTTCAACAGCAGGTCGCTGAAATATTGCTCATTGGGTTTCTGCTCAGCGTTCACGGATATCATTGCCGAGCGTAATTTGTTGCTAATTATGTGCAACAAAACAACAAATGACAGCCCGGGAACAACATTCACTGAAGGGTTCGCTAACAGCAGGGATTTGAAAACATATTAATCGTAGTTACAGGATCAGCTTTGGACTGCCATCCCTTGCATTTTTACAAACTATTCGGAGTAATCCAATTAACCACCATTTAACTTGTCTACCATTTCTGTTACATTGGATTTCTTCACAAGGCAAACACAGTTTCAGACAAACGACCAGCCTTGTGCAGCTGAAACCCAACATTACAACTCAAGGACCCGATCCAGAAATCGGGGGCACTTTCCTGGCCAGTCACAGAAACGGGGAACCCATCGCACAAGACAAGAGTAATATCCACGGAAACTGTACTCCCAAACTTCCTCACAAGGCTGCTCGTGAATGGTGACAGCTCATGTTTTCTGGCAGTACCTCAGTTTTGCAAGGATGATACGCAGGCTAAGCAGGATTATGAATGTTAACATGAAGCCGACGACAGATTGCGTTTAGCAAAGGTAAGCTACTTTAACTTTAATTCCATATTTCAATCAAAAACTGATTCACATTTGACTTTATCTTTTACTGAGGTAACTATCCACGTGTCAGTTATCTTTTGCTACTCAAACCGTTAGTGTATCAACTATAATTTCAGCATTCCTAGAGATCCAGTCTTCGATTTTCACAGCAGGATCTCGTACTAAAGACGAGTATGTACCGATAATTATCTACTACACACTTGAGTGAAATGGCAGTCGCAAATACTTTAAACAAAAGCAGGGGCACAAAGCATGTTTTAACTCAATTTGCAATCAATGTCTCATCACTTGACTTCAAGTGTCTGAAAAATTAACCAAGGTGCACCTCTTTCCTTTGATGGAGCAAAGAAGCACATTTGCTTGCTGAATATCGGGATTTTAAGGGAGTTTGCAGAACGACTAATGTGTTTACAACCCGAGTAATTACCTCGTGTGCAATCTCAAAATCTAAAATATCCTCTTTGCCTGGTGCTTCTACAAATGCATGCAACCTGTGCAACTCTTACTTTGTTGATAAGGTGTTCGGTGACGACCTCCCGCAGGCCCGTGTACAGCTTCTCTCCGTGTTTGTGAAGCACCATTGTGTAGGCATTCCTGTACAGTTCCTCGAAGCTCAGGCCGCTGTTGTTCTTCCTCTGAATCTCCTGGATGGCATTCTTTAGGAGGTCCCAGATATTGTTGACATACTTCTCATCCATGGTCATCTGCAAAAGGTAGCCGGTAATAGGTTGAATAAGATGACTTGTATCAGAAGACCAACACAAAGATCTTGTTCCTAAATAAAGCATCATAACGCAGATAGACTCCCACCTCTGTGCAGTTTAGTTGTAGATGTAACATTAAAGGGTCCGTAACTTTAATTTTCTATGTTTTTTGGTATTTGCCGATGAACAAAGTGATTCAGGAGCCCGATTTCTACTTTGCCAGCCACCACAGACGGTCTGTAAACAACTATTTCTGCAGAGTACTGAGCTGTGGTGCATCATTATAATTACAAATAAGCTTTAAACTTAAGAAGTTCTTGTGGTCGTCCCAGGGGGACTACCTAATAGCAAAGACATGTTGGCCCAAAAGGAGACAACTTAATAAGGGCAACAGCTAGTGAGGAGGAACAATGCGTGCTCCTTCTCAGCAGGCAAGCCCAAACACATTCATGTCTGGATGCAGACAATCTGTCAGGACTAGGCCACATTCAACAGGCTTCACATCTAAAGGTGCTCTGTGTTAACACAATCACATATGTGGACACTGTCACACAAATTAAAAAGGACTAGAATGACTCATAGAGGAGTAAGAACGCAAATATGTGGTTGATGAACAGCCTCATTCAAGCCAGTCACCGATGGACTGAAATTTCAATTAAAGCAGAATGAGGTCAGTTCATAAATGAGGTCTGTCAGTGACGTGCAGACAAAGGGAGTGCCAGGTGGACGGCGAGAGGAATCCTAAAATCACAATGTTGACACCGGGTTAACGACAGAAACAAGACTTGCGTCTACTTCTGATCCAGCTCATTAATGCAACCCAGAACTAACCTCAATTTGTTCCCCCAAGCCTCCATCTACAGCTGTGCTAACGTCGCCGTTTGTTCTTTGCACACAGTTGGGAATTGAGCTGGCATATTATTGCACAAAAGTCAAGTCAAATGTAAAGCTCGGTGGCGAAGACGTCATGCATTCAATGAAAGAACCCCCCCCCCCAAAAAAAACAGTCAAAACAACAAGTGTCAAAGAGTCGATGCTAAAGTTAGCAATCGGCTATGGCGACAGATCTGCTAGCTAACGTTTTGGGTAGTTGTGAGGCAGTTAAACGTTAAAGACAATGATTAATGAAACTTCCCACTTTGTTGGCAACATGACAGAACAGCCACCGAACCAACCGACAAGGAGTGGGGGCGACTTGACCACATTCTGACTGCTGCACTTTGTTTACCGATAGACAAGTCATATGTGCCGCTCAGCTGGTTAGCCTGCTAGCAGTTAGCCAGCAGCCCAGACCACGGTGATCGAGTCACCGCCTGCCGGGCAGACAGAGCACCTACTGCGGTGTGCACTTACAGGAAAGGCCCGTATCCTCATTTTGGTGTCCTTCTTGATGCCGCTTTTGCTGAGATTGGACATGGTTGCCTTCCGTCCGTGGGCTCTGTATTCACATGAAAGTATTTTTCCAGGGAGGGACGGTGGGGGGTGACTACCGGTTTATGGAGCGGCCGTATGAGCTTTCACTCGACCCTCGTAGCTCCGCGTCCCGGCGGCACCGCAAGTTTATTGTTGACAGCCAAACGCCAAATCCGATAGTTGTTCATACAGCAATGGCGGATTACCTGCAGTTCTCATTGCGCAGAGCTCGCGCACTCCAAGTACCGCGAGAAAGTAATGATGTGGAACATTTTCTCAATTTTACTCGCATTACATTACATTACATTACATTACATTACATACAGTCATTTAGCAGACGCTTTTATCCAAAGCGACTTACAATAAGTGTATTCAACATAGGTATTCAAGAGAACTACTAGTCACCAGAAGTCATAAGTGCATCTCCTTTTTTAAACAAGCATCTAAGAGCATAAACCAGAGCAAAAGTACAGTACGAATACAATAAGTGCAACAAACTAATATGAATACAATACACTACTTATGAATACTTTACATGATCACATAGTTTTTGCAGGGAGTATTGATAGTAGATTTATTAAATAGTTGTCTATTCTGTACTGCAATTCAGTAATCTTTTTGTTACTTTACAAATAAAAGTAGTAAATACATAATAATAGCTTGATGAAATAGAAAGTGTAATTACTTGAGTAGCTGTACTTCATTTTTTATTTCCTTGAGTACTTCCTGTATAGCTACTTCTACTCAACATAGCTAACAAATGGAAATATTGTACTTGTAACTCTACATTTAACTGGTAAGCTTACTACTTTTGAGGTTAAGATTCAACATACAAAGCATATGATAAGTTCAAAAGATATGATGCATTGTTTTTGTGTATTCTGTTTAAAATGACCTCCACCTCCATCAACTACAGAAAATTGTACTTATAGTATCAAAAGTAGGCCCCTGTCAGTGTTATATTTACTACATGTGCATATTGTAAACTAAACTAAAATAGTTTCTCAATTTGCATTCTGTTCTATTCTATTAATCAACTGCGGTCAGATAATTTGCTGGTGTGAAGTCCACCACTGCGATTTACTTGTTTCTTGTTTTCCTCTTCAGCTGCACAGATTAGGACTCTTTCGTTCTACTGTATGTCAGGGAATCACTTGTTTTTTAGGGGATGTACAGTGTTAGCTATTCTGCTTTTTGTATTTCTAATATAAGATGGTCCTGGCCAAGTTCAGTTGTGACTGCATTATGTGGTGTTTTTGCTGCAATATGCACTTGTATAACTCTGTATGCAAGTATTTATTTGTTTGTGTCCCTCCTCTCTGATTCATGAATCAAATATTACTCCCACAGATAATTTAAAAGTTCTCTAACAAACCGGAATACCTTCAATCTGATTTCATTTGGGATGCCAAATGTAATGCTCTCAATTAAAAAAAGCTTTGTTTTTATCAAGGTTTTCCACATTTCAACTGGGTTGATTTGATTAAATACAGATTGGTATGGAAATAGGCATCATTCTAGGCATAACATCAGTTTAAAGCCCCAATAAGGACCCTTGTCAAATTATTAAATTATGCATATTCCCAAACACAATTCTGTTTGTAACATCAGTTATTTGGTTTAATAACCTTAATATATTATATTATTGGCAAATTACAATGGGTGCATGACTACATACACATGTGCTACATGCAGAATATGGAGAGGAGATTTTGCTGTTTGCTGTACGGAGGAGCGAGTAGTGGAGTGTAGTAGGTTTTTGCCCCAGTGTGTTAATCTGTCCATGCTTATACAGTATCAGCGTGTGAGATAGGCCAACAGGATCAACAGAGATGCCACTGTGATAAATCAGTCTGCAGAGTATGGTGACGCTACATTATATGGTGTGTTGTGTGCACTTTTAGAAACAGCAACCAAGAAGCCTTTCACCAGATTTATTCCAAGAAAGAAAGAAAAGATCTCAACATTTCATCCATAATGTCCTTGTTCATTACATCTGAAGAAGAACAAGACCACCAGCACTCAGAACTCAACAAAAAAATAATAATTAACAGATGACAGGATTTAGTCCTCAGTATAAGCATCATGTATACATTTCAGATTAATTTGGGCTCTTATTTGTTGTAGAGTATCACATGTATAACCTTAATACACATATGATTTTCTTTCATCTCCTCTATCTAAAAGTCTAAGCTTGGGGTTGTTCAAAAATGGTATGAAAAAAGGAGGATGCAACCACTTTAAATACATTACAGAATTGAAATACTTCCCATTGTAGTAATGACAATCAAGTAAAATTTCTGTTTTTGAAAACTTTGATATTTACAGCAAATATATTTTTGCCACTTTTAATGATTATGTCACAGGTGATCTTTCATTACAATGATGTTACATCACAGGTTAGAGTCCCGCTGTTCTGTGACGATGGGAAATAGATTGGATTCATACTTCCTGAATGACTCGCAATTTCAGACCAGTCATGATGTATCAGAAAAGTTTTATACGAACGCAGCCCTCAACTTTCCTCCAACATTAGAGAACAAAACTAATTTAAGGTATGCCTGTTTTTCTCCTTGCAGCTTGGCCAGGAAGTAGAAAATGTTTGCTTGGCACATTTAACCCTGACTCTCTAAAACAAACGTAAAGGGACAGATACACACTCATAGACCACTGTCCTCGGTCTGGACCGTCAAAAGCAGTTTGGATTAAAAATTGTCACAGCCATTCTAATTGTTTTCCATGGAAACATTGTGATCTAACACTTAAATGTCTTTGGAAACTCAGACCTAATAATAAGTTAAGGTATTTACGTAACAGAGGCAGACACTTCATTTTGCACGTGAAAAAGGCAGGTACATATGAAACAGTGGTTTAAAAGTAATATAAGTGGGGAAATCACATGTGACAGAAAGAGCTTGAGAAACAGAGAGAGTCTACAAACATATCTGTACGCCCTTTAAGAAATTTATTGTAAAAAATAATCAGTCCATGAAGCAGACGAAGGCAGATCACCGATGCATATCCCGATGTAGGTATAACACAAACATCAAACCATTTTTTCATCAAGGACGAAGGTTATTTGGGTAGCACTCAGCCTCATGAGACCCTGTCAAGAACAATTGTATATTTAAATACTATGATTGCAATATTTTCATTATCGACTGAAGAAACTCGAGCAAGATCCCTTGAGGTGTGTGTCTGCATCATCACTACCAACACCAGCTTTGTAAAGAGCGGTTATACTGAATGTTCCCCTCTTTATCGCAACTACCTCCAGTCCTTTCTCTCTCTCTCTCTCTCTCTCTCTCTCTCTCTGTCTCATCTACTCACCCACTCATCCATCCACTCATTTGTTCACTCACTCTCATCCCTCCACACAGCCTACATACAGTAGTCCTGACTATTACAGACGTTTCTCTTCGTGTAACTATTCCTTGGTTACGTTATCCAGCTCTGCAGCATTTCCTATAAAGTAAAACTGAACATGGCATATTGCAACACAACACCCAATGCCCCCCCCCCCCTTTATTTTATAAGAGGTACAATCTGAGAACTTAACTCTAATTTTTCTTTCCTTTGGGGTGCAGCAATAGTGAACTGTTGATGCTATCAGGACTGAGCCATTTCTGTGATGGCTACATCTCTAGTTCTTTCTTTAAAACTATTTTCGGGTGCATTGAGAACAAAAAAAAATAATGTTGTGTCTGCCTATTATCCACTGGTGGTTGTATATATAGCTTAAAATTGAAAGAAGTGAACATGACATCTGAGGTCTTCACACAGGTATTTCACAAATATACATCTTTTGAGCATTGTGATCATTCATTCACCACATTGATACTCAAACTATGTCTATAACAAATATACAACATACGTACTAAACAGACTCTTTATTTCAATTTTCATATATTAAAAGCTCTAAGAAAGGCAGCAAAGATGCGCAATAAGGCAGATCCATATGACACACTCAATGACACACTCCATATAACACGCTCTACTCTGGCACATTTACACTAACAGATGAGATGGATCTTTTAAAGGGCTTCGGTTGCTCTCTATCTAAAGTGGTTTATGATGAAATCAGGAATCTAAAAAGTAAAAGGAAGTGATAACGGTGCAAGGTAGTGGGAAGGATGGCAGAGAAAAATAAATTGGGGGGTGCGTCTTAGGTCATGAGCGACCTTTGTTCGAGGTGTAGATGCATACTTGATGCAGTGACGAGCATCGGGTTTTTAATGTTTTATGCATGGCGTGGGGTATTATGGCCAGGGATCTGTGACTAATTGATCAGTGATTGTCAATTTGTCCCTTAAACTTCCCCAAAAATGAGGACAAGTAAATAAATACACACAAGGATTATAAGGCTGTGTAAGTAAATTAACTAAATCTCCCTTGTACAACGAGGAATTAATCAAATATATTTTTGAAGAGCCAAATACAAAAATCTGTTACGATGGTATAAAAATGGACCGCATTGATTTCTTAGCCGTGGAGAAACCAACACTGACGAAGATAAAAGGAATAATACGTGAGGTGTCCATATAGCATGCATTCAAAAGCATCAGATGAGGGACTATGGCAGCTGCTTGTGTGTGGACAAAGCTGAGCCATTGAAATCAATATAAGCATTTATGAAACATTTTACAGAAAGTAAATAGCACTTTATCTCACTGTTACATGAAGTTGAAGTAGTCTTTTTCCCATAAGAATTGTTTTTTTCCTCTCTCTGTTGTGTGTCTAAACAGTATGTGCATGTACATTTGTGTGTGTGTGTGTGTGTGTGTGTTTTTACAATCGTAATCAGGATCAGTACTGTATGAATGAACCTGTAACTTGTGGTTAAAAACTTTTTTTCCCCCAGTATAGCTGCTGAAAAACATCAAAGTCACTACCTTCTGCTTTCCTGAACTGGAGACACAAGCAACATGTGGCATCTAATCACTGAACCGGCTCAGATGGATCCACTCGTTTCAAATCCCTTGTCGGATTCAGTTAGTTTGAAACTTTGTCCTGTCCCTTCTGCATGGCCTGCTAAGCATCTAAGTGATTGACAGCAGAGAGATCCCTCCCTCTTAGGTCGCTAAAAAGGTATCATCGACCTCTTATTGGACCACGGAAAACTTCAAGAAACCGCCAGCAGCCCGCTGATGTCACTGACCGCTTCCTCCTTCTGCATCTTCAAGGCAGCCATTGAGGCAGTGGTCGTCGCTCCCGAAAGCACCCTGGGACTGCAGCAGCTCATACTCCTGGTCCAGGAAGTCTAGGCTGTTGTTGCTGGGCAAACCACGGATGGAGAACTTATGGGACACTTTCGTCCACTGCTCCCGATTTGCCGCCACTCTCTCGTACAGCTCAGTGGCCCCAGGTATCAGCTCAGATAAGAGCCTGAAAGGACAGACGGCAGTGGTGAGTTAGAAGTTATTGTGATACTTTGTCAAGTTAAGGCTTCCACATCATTACTTTACAAGAAGAGATCTCCAATGTGCTCAAATCTAAGTAAAAATTATATTTTAATTATATATTCTTTGGACTTAATTCATTTTATTCCAATGTCTTGCATGTTTTATCTTCAACAGTGTTCCATAGTGTACAGCATTTCATTTTGTTAATCTGCAACAACTGATTTGTTGGAACAGGGTGCAAACACAACATTAACCTTCAAAAGTTAATATTGCAAATATGTTAAAAACCAACTGCTTACATGTTGTACCTACCCAGCAGACAATGATGTTCATTTGGAGTCATGTTTCTGGCCACCTGACTGAATGTCAGACCAATGTTTACTCTCTTTTTAGCTCTATTTTGCTCCTTGAGTTAAATATCTGGCTATGTTCACCAACTTGTTGCTAACTCTGTCTGTCTGCTGTTTGATACTGTTCTGGGTACTGGGTAGCGTACAGTGAGTTTATCAGGGATTTTTTTTTTTCTGAAGACAGCAGCCTGCCGTAGCCACAATTTCAGCTGATGTGAGCCAATCAAAACAGTAAATTAAACCAAAACAATGAGCTGAAAGATGCTGAAATAGTCTTTACAGCTGATGGTGTGTTTGTAACTGCAAACAACCCTTACACATTAGTCATTTGAGCCATTGTTGATATGAAAAATATTGATTAGAGCACCCTTAAATGAGATTCCTTGAAAATGTTCAACTCTCTCCCTGTGTTCAATACTTGCAATGTGTGGGCCAAGGTTGGTATTGACCCTAAGACAAAGTGATATTTGATCAAAGGTTCAGGGTAGGGAGGGTGTAATGTTTCAGCTCTTTTTACGCACTTGTAAATGGGCATGGCGATATGTTCCATGAAGCTTATCTGTAGTTCGGGGATGTACGCTTTCTCTCTGTCCATCATCTCACTGGGTCTATTCCCCATGGCTTTTTCCTGCACAAACACACAATACAGACAGACATGAGTAATGAGCACTCTATTGTGTAAAATGACACACACACACACACACACACTTCAGCCACTTAAATAGTTTCGGATGCCATTTAACAGCCAGTGTACACGGACACATACCAGATCTCCTTGAGAGAAGAACTCTTTATAAATCAGCTCCTGTGGACACAAACAGACAGACACCTGTTATTGCTCGTATGGTTTCTTATTCACAGTGACACTGATTACGTTTTACTTAAAATACAGCTCACTTATTTATGTAATGTCACACAACAAAAATGAAATATGATTTCAAATATTCATTAATGGCATATTTTTTGGACAAACCAACTGTCAGTTCAGATCTTTGGATTTTCATTTAAGAAATATAAAAATGTAATGTTACAATCTACTATCTAATACCATAATTCCATATTTGATGCCAACCTGTCTGTGTTTTTAGTTTCTCGTATTTGCAAATATTACTGTAATTTGACAATGCTGAATCACAAGAATGATGTAATCTAAGATAAACGTCATTCCCCTTTATGACATTTCAGTATTTGATGTGATTGCTGTTTTGCCATTAATCCTCCTGCATTTTCTGACTAGTGAGAAAATAATTATTATAAATAATATAAGCCAGGCCATGTATTACACAGAAATGTGTTTTTGTGATTTGGGAGAAAGGATTACAGTGCATTTGCTGTAGGTGTTTGGAGATTTAGGGTGTAAGATTTAGGACAAGGGTCAGGGGGTTGGTGCTGAAAAGGGGGCAAACCAAGATTAAACATAATCCTAAAATGCAGTGCAGTTTCACAGAATAGAAAATAATAGAATATAGATTGAGAGGTTGTTTCCAGCTGTATCAGATAAGAATCACATCATCTATATTGCACTGCTGAAATGTTGCTACAACACTCTGGAGAAGCGTCTTGCTACTGCATGTCAACTAGAGACAGTTTACAAACTGTCTGAAACTGAAGTCCTTTCACTACCTCATACCAAATCTTTTTTTAAATGCAGTGTGCAATGTGTGCTACACTAATTACTCAATATAAATATGAATAATTCCTTACATTACTAGGGTAATTGGACTGCAATACTGAGACATACTTACATGATTGTACACAGTATACTAGTCAAAGGGTGTAGCACAAACCCCAAACAAGGCCGTTCAGAGGACTAAGAACTAAATACATGTGTGCCGATTCATATATTGTTCATTATTCCCCAACTTAAAACTAAACACACTTAGTTAAATGTGTGGTTACATATGTAAAGTTATAATGTAAAGTGTAGATATTGGTGTCGACTGTGAACTGACAGCAATCTTGCGTGTGGTTTTCCAGCCCTTGGTTTGGTCCGACAGGTCACACGATGTCATCAACAGGCACAGAAGCATCGAGCGATGGTTACGGTTTTTTCGGTTGTATCCGTCTGAAACAAACACAGGTAGAGAGAATTACTCGTTCTAAGCTGAAATTACACACTTCCTTTGGCAGTAAAACAGAACTTTGTGAAGATCTGAGGGAAACCACTGTTGATGACTCTTGACAACTTCACACCACTGTACAATTTCAGATTAAAACATTTAACTGAATAATATTCTCATTTTTTTTAAAACTCATTGCATTTTCAAGCAAAATGGACTGTCACTATGTGATAGTAGATATTGATGATCAAAAACCACAGCTGTATGTCAGGAACCAGCAGTTTGTGTAAGAAGAAATTATGTTAAAATTCATGTTAACGCTGCAGATTTTCCATTCTGTGTTTGGTCAAACAATTTTTGTCCGTGATTGACAAGTTACACACTCTGTGGTGCAAGGCAATCACTAACTAATTAAAAAGCTTATAATGTCCTTCAATTACTCAAACTACAGCACACAATTGATTCCACTGAGGAGACATCCACTCAGGATAACCTATAATTGGTTGCATTCAGGCGAAACAAATCGCTGGGCAGTAGGTTACAGCCAATTATTTTATATAAGAAAAGAGAAAAGCAACTGTCTCTTCAAAAGGGTTAAGAGTTCAATAAAATAAGAGGATTACTCAGAATGATGAATGCTGGAAATTTGAACTCAGATCTCTGAAAAATTAGTCAGGAAATAATGAAAATCTAGAGTCATTATGTGGCTTTTGGGTGGTGCTGTGAAAAGGAGCCAGCAGAGGAAATGTACAGTCTGTATAATTGTCAGTGATTATTTATCCAAAAGAAATTGACAGAAACTTACCTGCAAACCTACAAAATGCTTTCCAAGCCTCCCTCTGCTGTTCGGGGTCGTGAGTTTCAAGCAAAAGTAGAGATGTGGCTGTGCATACTGAACTACTGTTGCATACGTACCATCAGCCATCTTCTGCAAGTCCTTGAAAATGCGAAGGTGGTGAGCCAGGTCTGTCGCCAGAATGACGTCTCTAATCAAATCCAGCATGCGCGTGTAGTCCTAAAAAGAACATGAAAAATATTTTTTTGGTGGGAAAGCAGAACGAAGTAAATGGAAATGAAGAGTGAGAGACAATTTGTACTGTGTGAATGTCTTTCTATATCTTACCTTCCTGTTGAACTTATCAAAGATGTTGCAGCCGTGAGTGTTCAGAATGGCGATGGCCTGGGCAAAGTGATGTCTCTGTCGTGGCAAATAAAAAGCATAACGGCATTTGAAAATGCAGCTTCTAAAGGAATGCTGAGTCATGTCAAAGCCAATTCATATGTGTCCCAGTGCCTCATCACTGCTGCGAAGGAATTTAAATTTGAATTTGACCACTAGGTGTCGTACCAGTAAAAAAGCAACATTAGTAGATCACACGTAATGAAGATCACCAACAAGGAAGGAACAAATAAATATAAGAAAATTATATTTTTCAGTCTACAAAAGTTAAATTCAACATGCTGCAAATTATAATGAACTCATTGATGCCATATTTAGTGGTGGTGTGGACTGCTTAATATTCAGAGGGGATACAAAAATAGAAACAACAAAATCCAGTACAACACAACCTTTAATTATGGCCTCAGGGATAATAATTCAATAGTATTACTTATGGCAGAACTAAACGGAACTACAGTGGAGGGTGTACATGTAATGAATATCAATATAGGCACAGATCCCTCGTGTTGTTATAGCTATGATAGATTTCCAGTCCCTGTGATGTGATGTAACTGGTTGCTAGTTTACCTCCATCACAGATCCCTCCGAGCTGTATAGAGCAGCCAGCACAGATTGCTGAAAATAGAAACATACAAAAGAAACACAATCCTTATTAAGTACACATCATATTGATTCAAATGAAACATTATCCTTCAGTAAAACCCTTCTCTTGAACTGTCCTCGTTATGACCTTTGTTGCATAACGAGAGTTGGAGTGTGCGTCATTTAGGTGCTGGAGGGTTATAGTGATTATAGATGATTATAGTGGAGCAGAGGAACATGCTTCTAATCAAAATGTCATCTAGTGTCTCACTGGGGCAAATTCACAGATGGGGAGAAACACAGACTCTGATATCACGATGAGCTTTTATTGATATTCTCCATCCTGAGCATCTAAAAGTCAGTTTATAGTCTGCTTTTTAAAGTGCAGATGCAGTGCTGTTCTACTACACTCTATTCAGGAGGTTTATTCTCTCTAATAGTGAATCAGTCTTCTTTGAAAATGTTAAATTCAGTATATTATGCTGCTTTACTATTTGTCCATGATTCAGGTTTCCGTACACACCATTGCAGTTTGAATGAGAAAGTTGGTTTGTCCTCCTTATACAACCGTAGAATGGAGTATTGGTACATTTTTCTTTGTAAGGCACAAACTACTATCTATCTAATTATCGCTGTTCTTTTCTGACGCCTAAAACATGCGGACAATTCCTCGAGCCCGCATCGTTTATGGTGAAAGTGATTTAAACGTTTTTGCACCCTCATCTTGGTGTGAGTTACAGAGACACTTTGAACTAAATTTTATAAGAATGAAAGATTATAAAAACAGGATTTAGGACTATTTGAACACTGAACGTACATGTTACTAAATGACACTGCTAATTAATTGGTTGATGCAATTTGCGGTTTGTTTTGAGACTGTTACTGTTAAGACTGAATTTTTGTTGTTGTTGTTTTTTTTAACTTTTTGCTGTTTTGGCCAGCTGTCCATTGGACAAGAGATTTTAAATCTCGATAGGACTATCCTGTATAAATAAAGGCTAAATAAGAAAACAAATAAAGCAGAAAAATAAACATAATTTGTGCTCTTACTGAGACGACTTGGAAAGAATTGTTGGTGCCACGGTGGTCCAGGTCATGGCACATACAGGAGACAAAGAGAGCTAGAATCTCTATATCCCTAAAAAGAGAGGAAAGAAGGAGGATTAAGGTTAGAAACAACTAAACGTATGGCTACTTGTGTCCCTGGAGGGATGAGTGTTATATACGTACTCGAGGTAGTTGGACAGCCCTAGGTTTTTGTAGAGCAGGTAGCAGAAGTGTGAGACAGAGAAGGCGTGCATCCAGTTGTGGTAAGGAGGGTCCCTGTAGCCTTTCTTCACCATCAGACAGAACCTGACACCAAACAGTTTGATTATCACCTACAACACAGCGTGCAACGGATGCTGCTTATAGCACGTAATCAAGTGATTTTCCAGTATATAATTTCTTTATAAGCTATGCAGCGGTTTGCTCTTGTTTCTTTCTTTCAATGCTGAAGAAGTAGCACCAGAAATTGTCCCTACCAACCCGCCCATCCACAAGCTTCATTTGACAAACTCAATTAATTTTCCCGCTCTACTAATCAATTCAGACCAATATCTTGTCAGTTTTGTTACTAGAGCCATTTACTCCAACGCACTATAAAGCAGCTGACAAGAATGTGATCACGGTAAAGGATTCGACAGAGTGATAAAATAATTAAATCGCAGGTAAGGAAGAGTGAAAAATGAACAGCAAATCAGAAATTATTCATCAATGCAGACTACTTAAAGTAACTGGAGGACACATTCATACACACAGGCTCTTATATTCAGTACATGAATTGATGGATTTGTCAGACCTGGCGAGAGTATTCACGTCAATCTTGTATGTGTTGATGAAACCCATGTCTTCAAACATGCTGAGGATGCACTGCAGACACACACAACAGGATCAGTTACATTTTTTTTTCTGTTTGGCATCCTCCACCTTGTGTCTCGAATCCCCCTCAGTCTCTCTCTTTCTCACTTGTCTCTTACCAACGGCGTGTTGTCGTCGGGTAGGGAGCGAGGCGTGTACGTGAATTCGGCAAAGCAGGGGTGGATCTCCATCACGGGTTCAACCCCCGTTACCAGCATCTTAGTCACCTCTTCCTCTGACACCTGCAACATACACATACTGAATCATATTGAGTAAATAATACGGACGGTGTCAGTAAATACAATGCGTCTGAGTGCGAGAGTGAGCGAGATGTACAAATGTGATGTTACCTTCATATGGTACATCATCATCTCATTGGCCAGGTGGGACCTGAACTGAGCTTCATGGACTCTCTTGTAGAGCAGAGACTAGAGAAACAAACATGATATTATAGTAACATTACACAGTTTATTTATTTTCACACATAACTGGCTACTATATGATGTAGAGTCCAGTTACTAGACCAGTAGTAGAACAATCTCCTTATTTTTCTATATATTTAAAAAAGATAACTAAGGAGGCTGAGATGGTGTTCGATCTGTGGCATCCAACAGAGCTTGATTTCCAAACAGGGATAAATAATTTGCAACAATATCGTCTGCTTATTACAGATCATCCTGCTGAACCCATTTTTGTCCCACCCCACAGCATACTGTTGCCTACACCATGATACACAGTGAGCATTGATACATAATGCATGTTGTCCTGTTTAAATGATTAACGAGCTGCCTAGCAGGCAATTCTTTTTCCAATCAAATATCTTTACAGTCTAGAGATAAACTTCTAATAATGACCTGCAGTCCTTCAAAGGTCACACGCTGCAAGAGGTGCTTAATATGAAGGTGAATCGGAAATGATGCATAAAATATCACCACAGCTGTACTTTCTGTAGCTGCTCTTCTTTTCCTTCCTTAATCTATGGTCTCTGCTTGAACTCCATCTCCATTACAGTGCCTTTCTTAAGGTACATTATGTTAAATCAACTGTAAATCCATCATATTACTCAATCGATCGCAAGACTGCTTTAATATTTCTACTACGTTCTTGTAAAAGGTGAGAGTTGCTGCAGTGATGAGAAATACGATGACAAAGTTGGATCATCACATTGTAAAAAAGTAGTTTTGCAGCAAATGAAAAAAAAAACCTGTTAATGTGAGATTATCACCACTGGGTTGTTGAAGGTTCTGATAGATTTAAAATCAATGTCAACAATAAAAACCTTGACAATACAACACAACAGCCTATCTTCATCATCGTCTTGGTGAGCTACATCCACTAGTGTAGCTGAATGTGTGTCAATGGGTTTGCAGCAGTCATCCACTGCCTATGAACTACACCATAAAAGCCACTCAGGTCCATCACAGACTGAACGTCTTTAAATTTCCCTTGAGCCTTGACCGAGCATTTTGCTCCCACTGAACGGATCCCATTTTGCAGACAGGATCGATCTTTCTGACAGCACTAAAAAAAGATCTACGTTACGTAGAGACCGAGGACAGATACACTTTAACTTATATTCTAAACTTTATTTCATTCCTCCCATGCAGTCAAACTTAATTAGAAATTATTACGGTGCATGGAACTTGCAGGGATTGAATTATTTATACATTATCATTGCTGCTAACAGATAATAAGAGAAAGTGATAGAAGCCGTCTTCTATTGTAAAGTGAGACATTTAAGCTGTTAATTAATTTGCAACCGATTATGTTTATCTAGCAACTGTGTAGTTTATGTACTTTATGCTTAATATGCTCGGTTTATAGCTTGGCTTATTTGTTTCTCTGGTGTTGTGGCAGAATTGAATAAATACACTGCAAACTGTTCAATGGCTTGTCCCTGACCAGCCGTCTGTGGCTATTCAATATACAGAGTCAGAAAATGAAATGGTTACAGAGAGTCAGTTATTTCTGCAGGTAGAGACTTACATGGGCGAGGCTGATACCACAGTAGATGGAGAAGGCCGTGGCCAGGTCCTCGTCAAAGCGGTTGAACCACGGCCCGTTCATTTTATTCACCAACTCAGCCACCCCAATCACCTCTAGAAGATGGAGGGTTTAAAGAAAATTGGAAGAGGACAGAAGTAAAGATTGAGAAAGGAAAGGGAAGGTGAGACATTGAGGGAGGCAATGAGTTGAAGAAGGAAAGTAGAGAAAATTGATGGCGGAGAAAAGTAGAGAGTGGAAGATGTGAGTCAAGGACGGAAGGAAAATGAGGCACAGAATGCACCGGTCTGAGGTGCAGAACAGACGTTGAATCAAATAGGGTTGCTAACTTAAATTAATTTCACACTGAAGGTGAACCTAATTGCACATAAAAAGATTTTGAATTCAAACTCTTAACCTGACAGTTTTCTATATAGAGGCAAATCACAGAAAGTGTTTCTGCTTGGATACAGCAAGAAGTAGGGAGCAGCATCAAAGTAATGCAATTTGTAAGTATGGAACACGCTGAGGATGGTTGCCTCTTCAATCTGCACTTTATGCACTGTAACATTTAGGAGAAAAGGATGTGATGTAACAACTCTTTGTGCTATTCTGAGAGAGCACATGTGTGGAAACAGCTTCGTTTTTTAAAAGGAGAGAGGAAGAGTAGGTACGTGCTGTACAGGATACTGGAGGAGCAACTACCAATAGTGCAATGAAACTAAATCTGGTTCGTTATTATATTATCGGTAGCCTCGCTATTGTATTATCAGTGCATTACTGGACTCTACAGCGGCAGCTGGTCACCTCCCTTTACAGATGGCAGATGTCTCCACATTGTATTTAAGTACAGTAGGAAAAACCTTCTACGCTCCGAGCTGCTGAAACAGTCTGCTGAAAGCTGAATGTGTAATATCCTTAAACCTGACACCTTGACTAATTAGATAATGGCCATAAAACACTTAATTACAAATTACCTATATCTTTATATCTTTTATTATTGTTTTCTTGTTTTTGTCTTTTATCTATTTCATTCTTTGAGTCTAATCTAGTCTCCAACTTGTGTCCCTAGTTAATATTTCTGTCACCTGTGAATTGCACTAACCTGCATGAGAGGTGCTTTATGAACAAAGTTTTGTCAAAAAAAGAAAGTTGTGACTTCTTGTGTATGTTGAATGAAGTAACTTCTGTGTTGTGTATGTGTGTGTGTGTGTGTGTGTGTGTGTGTAAGTCATTGCTGCTATTACCATTGTTTTCATCTTTGATGGGGAAGCAGAGGATGTTGCGAGTCTTGAAGCCGGTGCTGTCGTCCACACCGCGGTAGAAAAGAGGATGGGAGTAGGCGTCCTTTATGTTCAAGATCTGACCGGTGGTCGCCACGTGACCTGCGATACCCTGATCTGCTGGAATACGAAACTCCTTCTGCACTCACACACACACACACACACACACACACACACACACACACACACACAC